CTTAATTTACTTTGCAGCCCGAAATCCTATCACGTTTTAAGGGATTGCAGCTTGAGGCAGAGAATCTGTGCAATTAACTGCCAGTTAAATGCAATTAATTGCACGAGAATTGCATTTTAATTGGCAACTACAAGGCGATAAAAATTAAAGACTACCAGCAGAGGGGCAGGGTTTCCTCTGCACAGCCCCTGGGCTGTGTTAAGCTTGGATTTGTCACATGCAGAACAAAATACTTAATTAAATTGCATTTTCATATACGCACTTTGTGGACGGTCTGCGCTGCTCCTGCCGCTGCTTGCAGGTGGTAATGCGGCTCTCTGGACTTTGTGCCCGTAATCGCGATAAGCACAACAACAAACGGGCATGAAAATCTGGAACGAGCACCAGTACCAGTGCCAGGCAAGACGACGATATATATTTATGAGAAAGTCCACAAACAATGTGTAAAAAACGGCAAACTGAACACGCGCGAGCCGCGCCGTATATGTACTTTCGATGTCAACGGTGTTAAAGGGGGGCTGAGGAGGGGGGGATTTAAAATTGTAATAAAGTCATATACACGCACACCCGGTAGGAAATGGAGTGGCAGCAGTCCAAGTGGCAGTCCCGATGGATGGATGGAGCCTGTACTCAGGCCTCGCCTGACAGCAGTTGCCCAAATTTTGCTGTAGAGTGCATCAATATTTAATATCTATTTAACATTAAATCCGCAACACACACACACGTTGCATTCGTTTTGCAAAAATTCAATTAATATTTAATTTTTCATTTATTGTATTTTTGTTGTTGTCTGACGCATCGCGCGCGGCACGCTAATAAAATTAAACGGCCAGAGTACCCCAACGGCGGCACACACACACACACACCCGGAGTACACTCTAGCACACACACACACTCACACACCCGGCGCACACACAGTTTGTGCTGTTTTTTTTCTTCTTGGGTGTCCCACACGTTCCGTTTTCGCTTTCCGCGTATCCTTGGAGCAGACCGTAACGCCACGTTCCGACACGAATACGAAACTGAGCAGAGCAACGGCATTCACAAAAACGCTGGCACGACCAACACAAAATATCCTTTAGCCTCTCGGGGTCGATGCCAGTTCGTCCTCGTTTGCGGGGATATTTCTGCTCGTGGACTCTTCGTCATGGAATGCCTCGGTCGCATCGTTTTCACTCAATTACGAATGAAAGTAAAATTCTACGAGCCTCGCACACACACACACATACACGTGTGTGTGCTGGACTTTGAGTTTGTTTTGGTTTAAATTGCATTGACGTGGAAAATGCTTCGAAGAGTGCCAGTGAGCCCAGTGGCCAAAGTGGGCCTATCCCAAGCAATTTTCCCTGACGAACTTTGCCTTTGCCTTTGCCGTTGCCTTGCCCCCCCCCC